CTAGAAAAAAAAACTATGAAATTGGCTGCCTGTACTTCAGATGCGAGCCTAGCCCAAGGAAAGGAACCCCTAACGGAACTATTTTTCTTGGAAGATGTTTCTTACGTTAAGTAATATAACATAACTCCCCGAACACATTTTGTCTGTTCGAGCAATATGACCGGATTGCCTGGTTTCTGACAATACTGAATGTTTCTTAGTTAAACATAGTATACGGAAACACTCCAACTTCTTAGTTTGGAGCTAGAAGCCAAAGGTTTGCGATGACAAAATTTTCATAAAATTTGGCAGGAGATAAGTTCGGTCACAAAGTACATTGATACATCGAATCGAACACCTACTCTATTTCTACGCCATCTAGTAGACTATCTGATTTACAATCTTGTTGTCAAAATTTCGCCACTGTCATTACTTGGTTGTATACCAAGCTTATAGGAATTTCCTTCCCGTCAGGTCCTTGCGGTCCAACTCGGGCCATATGGTTCGGATCAAGACCGGTAAGGTGTGTCTTCACCATGGCCCATGCCTCTCGACCGCCTTCACGGCATGCAGACGTCTTCCACAACTCGAAGCGAATCCGAGCACCCTTGAATAGATCTACCAACCCCTCCATATTTTTTGGAGGGACTTCAGAGGTCCATAAGGCTTTGGCCATATTCTTCATGGCCTTCCGGGCACGCTCGTGCAGCTTTCCCAAATCCTTTAGAACTTCGCTTTGCAGGCCGGACACTTCCACTTCGGGGCGGCCGGTCAACATACCTATATCAACCGAACTATAACATTCCGCATTATATGATTATATCAATAATCCGGACGGTTCATAAGTCATACTGAATATGCCGCCCTTCAGCTTCTGGTTTTACTATTGCGCCTGCAAGAGTTGAGCCTTTAAGCTCTTTATCTCTTCGGCTTGCTTCTTCACTTCTTTTTCTAGTTTTTTATCTTTGCCAAAATACACTGGGGCACTCTTCATTTCTTCAAGCTCGGAGACAGCAACATTTAGTTGTATCCATCTTGTCTCGAGCTCCAGGGACAATGCACTGTTCTTCTCCTTGAGAACATGCGGTCATCAAATGATCCTCAAATCGGCTTTGTCCACCCGCTTTAAGTCTCGGGGGCTACTGCTATCTATCTACTAAGTTTATATAAATTTGTACCTGCATATCCTTTGAGAACAGGTGAGCAACCCCTGTGAGTCCATCCCGGGCAGCTCGGATATATACACCTACAGTGCTGAGAGCGGTAAACTCCGGCTCCATTAAGGCAGGGGCGCTCAGGTCTTCTTTCAAGTGACGATGATTCATCGCACTCTCAACTTCGGAGTTAGTGACGGACATCTCATCCGGCTCTCCGTGAGGCAAATGAGCATGTGCCGCACCAGCATGCGCCCCCGTCCTGGTTGATGTCTCCGGCGCCATATTGGCCGCGGCTCGGCTAGCTGGAATCTTATTCATGGTTCGCCGTATACCCCTCCTGCGATGATAGAAGGAAGATGCGAATGACAATTCAGCTTCATGCCCGAATATGAAATAGAAGGAATATACCTTTTCGGTGATGGAGTAGGTTTAGTGGTGCTTCCGACTTCCTTTCGTTTTGCACGACCCTTCCGCGAAGGTGCTGACCTTCTCTTGGTCGCCCGTCCCTGGGTACGACTCGCTGAGCACCGATCCTGCGAAACATGGTCCAATGTGGAGGATAAGAAATGAGCAGAAGTATCTCTCTTCCCTGAAAATACAATTTCCATATACTTACCTTCATGAAAGGATAGAGGTCGGGGTAATCAGCCACAATAGCTACCTGCGAGCCATCAAGGCTCGATAGTAGACTCCATTTTCAAACTCTACAAATATGCCTGGATCCTCATGGAATCCGGGGTCCTCATTGCGATCGTGATCCTCTGGCTCAGGGGCGGGGCAGTTAATGTTTTTGATCATTTGCCTCCATGACTATTTAAAAAGCAACTAGGGTATTCAGTTAATGCATCTCAATGAGTAAAACAGTACTGAACGGTTAGAAAACTTACCCATTCAATGGGATTTTACATGGAGAAGCCCTCTCGACAATTTAAACAGAGGAAGTCTTATTCTTCTCCTTTATAAAGGTCGGTCAGCATGGCAGCCAATGCGGCTTGGCTATCCGGACCCTCTCGCCTGTAGCGGGATGCGTTGTCCTCCCCGTTGTAGTTCCATAAGGGGTCACCCTAGATTGAAGTGGCTGGATGCATCGCTTTATCACAATGGCCATAACTTCAACTATGGAGAGCCCGAAATGAGTCAGTAGCATGACCTTGTTTACCAATCTCATTACTTACACACTGTCTTCCTGATTAGGGGACTTGGGATGCCAGCTATATGGCTTCTTCAAGGGGCGCTAGAGAATTCTGGCAGTCCGCGCCGAACAAGGTCCGGAAGAGGAACATCCTCAACATAGAACCATTCCGAAGACCATTCGGCGGATCCCTTCTTCGGAGTCCTGACTGGGTAGCCGTATCCGACTATGCGCCATACTTCGGCGCCGCCCACTTCAAAAATAAACCCAACGCCCTGATGGCGGGGGATGAGGCAGAAGAACTTTTTCCATAGTTCAAAGTGAGCCTTGCAGCCCAAAAATAATTCGCAAAGAGCGACGAAACCAGAGATATGTAAAATAGAACCTGGTGTGAGGTTGTGCAGTTGGATCTCGTAGTGTTCTAGTAGGCCCTTGAGGAAGGGGTGGATTGGGAATCCCACGCCCCTCAAGAGGAATGAGATGAAGCACACCTTTCCCCTTGGTTGGGATTGGGGAAATTCTCTGCCAATGCATCAACACCCATTGAAGTCAACCCTGCCCGTATGGAGACTAGATCCGAGGGGGGAGATATCCTTGCGTCTGGAGTCGACTGAGCTGGAGATGGGATACGGAGCAACTTTGCCAATCCACCTCTTGAGGACCATGAGGACGCAAGGAGGAGCCAGGGACGCTAGCCATGGTCTGAATTTTTCCTGTGGTTTGCTCTGTCGCTTCTGGGGTGATATGAGATGGCGTTTGGGGAATCTAACCTCGTTATATAGGCGCTGCATGTGCCTATTAAAAATATTAAAATACAAGGGTAATGGACAGTTGGCATTCACCCAGACGAGTGGAAATCGAGGCGACGATAGGAAGGAATCATATAGACTGGACGTGGAAATCGATGTCGGACTATCATCAATCCGGAATATGATGGAGAACCCGCCTTGCAAAGCCGAAGACTTGCGTCCGCACACTACATTGTCATTGAAGGCAAGTTCGGGGGCTACTGAGGGAGTCCTGGATTCGGGGGTCCTCAGGTGTCCGGCCTAGGAGTCTGGGCTGGACAGGATGGGCCGTACAAGATCAAGCTGAAGATTATTCACCGTGTCCGGATGGGACTTCTCGATACGTGGACGGTAAGAATAGAGTCCGGAAGATTCCTTCCCTGATAAACCGACCTTGTACAAATTCTAGACCCCTCCGGTGTGTATATAAACTGGAGGGGTTAGTCCGTAGAGACACATTATTCACCATCATTGAAATCCTCATAGGCTAGACATCTAGGGTTCGCCATTACGATCTCAAGGTAGATCAACTCTTGTAATCTTCATACTCATCGAATATAATCAAGCAGGAGTAGGGTTTTACCTCCCTTAAGAGGGCCTGAACTTGGGTAAACATTGTGTCCCCTGGCTTCCTGTTACCATTGATCCTTAGACGCACAGCTTGGGCCCCCCTACCCAAGATCTTCCGGTTTTGACACCGACAGCCGCGCCCTGGCCCAAGCCCACCGCAGCCTCACTGTCGCTATCGGTCACAAACGCTGGATCCACAGCCGCCCCAATGCCTGACATGTCCGCCGCGCCCTGGCCGTCTTCCGCGGCCGTCTCCATCCACTGTATCGCCTCCATCCATAGCCCTAAGCCGCCGCCGCTGCGCTAGGGTTGGGGAGAAAGGAGATGATAAGAGATCGTCGGGTCGGGCCTCGGCAGAGAAGAGAGAGATTCGGCCTTTGTTTTTCTTTTTCCTAATGTTTATTATGAACAGGGGTAATTTCATCCAACTGCAAAGAACTGACATTGGTCAATGCAGATTTTAACGGTGTCTCCTAACAGGACTGACAGAAGTGTTAGAAAGAGCAAAAAAAATTACACTTGGTGTTATATAAGGAAGAAATTTCTTTATAGTGTTAAATAGGGAACCAACATTTAAAACAATGTTATATAAGGAATTTTCTCTATATTGTCTCACTCCTTGACCTTCTCCAGCCATGGCGTCAGAGCAAATCAACCCATGAAACTCTGTTCCTGCAGCTATTGGCAGTTATAACATGTGAGTGAAATGCACGGTCCGTCCATTAACTTGAATTAAAAGCATAAATTAGGCCACAAACTCGAAATCTGCACAGATTAGGCCACGGACTGGATTATGAGCACAATTTAGGCCAAAACACGCTTCGCCCAGCATCATCCTGCGCACGTGGCTGCCACCTCAGCTCAGCCTGGACCGCACCTCCAACACTTAGCTACCTGTTTGGTTGGGTTTGCGTCAGGTTGGCATATGGTTCCTAAGACGTTTCCATCTTGACATGGTCCAAGTGAGAAACTCTAGCATCAATTCCTCAAGCAATGCTAATCAGTGAATAAACAAACAGCAAAAAGACCCAAAAGATAACATTGAGATCCCTGTCCCTAGTCCACCGGCATGAACATCACAGTCAAAGGAACTTATTGTCAAATTGATCTCACAAATGAACTGAAAATGAATCTGTAACTGTACAACATCCAACTTTTTGAACAGTCCGGATGCATAGTTTTGCAGAGTATGTCTGCCTTACACTTTTATTCTTTACAACATGTATGTACAAGTCAACATATGCACAACACTGTCATCAACACAACCTGAATCAAGAACAGCATAAAACACTTGATTCTCACCTTTTCTTTCAATAGTAATTTCCATGGAGCGATGGACTGCTGTATATAGCAGCGGTGTCTTTCTTTTTTCTTTCAAGCGACCTGCACGTCGGCGTTGAGGATCTGCGGAATGGACCTGATCCGCAGGGCTGGGCTGATGGACTTCAGGCCCGCGAAGCTCTCTGGCGACACCCGCATCCCGCCAACGTTGATGCACTCCAGTTCCGGGCACTTGTTCACGAGTGCTACTAGTCCGGCCTCTGTCACGTGGCGGCAGCTCCACAGTATGATGCTCTGCAAAAAATAGTCCATGTAAAATACGGATGAAAATGGAGGGGAAACAAATGAAACTGAATACTGCCATATTTGTTTTACATTTTCTTGGCGAAAGCAGAAACAATATGAAAATTCCGCAAATGAAGCAGATACCGCTGATCAAATAAAGCGTGAACACGAACACGACATTGAGAGTTCATTGAATTTTTAAAATAGAACCCTGAGTCATACAGAAAATAATATCAAACCAACAAACTTGTTCGGTTATACACCAATGAAGGGGTAACGAGGTGTCTCGACAAGCAGGCACGGAGGATGGGAGTAGGAGCCGTCTAGTGAGAGTCTGAGGGCCTGTTTGGATGATGCCCACGGGAGCCCTGCCAAAATGGTGGCGTGCCAATTTTTTGGCCATCGAATTCGCCGCCAAGTTCTCAGCCACCACGCGGACGCCAGAATCACCGCAGGTCGCAGCAGGTGACCAAAATATTGGCTTGGATTCTAAAATTTGGTTGCAATCCAAACGCCAGCCCAACCCATCGGTCAACGCCAAAAAATTGGCAGGGCAGCCGTGGGCACTCAACCAAACAGGCCCTGAGAGCGAGGAGGATCACATAAGCATTAGTTTTTTTTTTGGAGAATTAGGTTGGGCCAACAGTGTACATGGGCTAGGCTCGAGTGGGCTACATTCACAAATGATAAGCAAAAATTTCATCTATAATGGAAACCTTCTACATTTTTAGCATTGATCCATACTTTGTAGTGGGGGTAATCTAAATGTGTAATCTATTGTTGTAATAGATTACAACAATTATGTAGTAATCTATTGTTTTAATTACGTACCTAGAAAATTTGAGCTTTCTGCCATCATGGAAGTTGATCACATGATTTTTTGTTAAGCCTTTTATAATTTGGGTGACATAATTTAATTTATTTTTACATTTTGTACTACATAATTTGAAACAATATCTTGTTTCATTGAAAATTAAAAATGTTCAGTTTAAATATTGATTTACATACTTATAATATTTTTTCTTATTAATTTATTGATAACATTCTTTTAAATTTAATAAATTGTTTGTACAAAATTGTCACTTGAATTCACTAGATAATGAAATATATACGTTACATTTTATGTTATTAAATTACTTAAACTCATGAACTATTGAAACAAAATATTCCACACATTATTAATATATATTTTTTTAAAATATATATCAAAAACATAAATAATTTCCTAGAATTGGTCTAAATATATTTTTTCACTCATTTTCTGATGATTGATACTTTAATGAAATTATATTCGATTATTATCGTTTTCTCTTATTTATATGTGCATAATAAAAATGTATTAAAAATATACTTTCATTTATAAATTAGTACTGAGCAAAAATAAATAAACATTTAAATGGCCTCAACACTTATCAACACTGAAATATAAATTAATTGATTTATTCAAAATAATTTTGAGCATTCACGAATGGTCAAATAAAATTATTTAAAATATAATTGCTTAGACATGTTTATACTAAACATTTTTATTTCATGGTAACTCTTATTAAATGTTTGTTATATATCTTTGATATTGTATCTTAATATTATTTTTGGTGTGGCTATTTGAATAAGAGGGCAACCATACTCTCTATGGTAATATACGTATTTTTCATATGATTATAGTTTTTATCCATTAAAATACATTTTTTAGCTAAATAAACTATATTCGTTGCAAAACATGTTTTTAATTTCAGAGGGATTGTTTGAGAAAATACTTTGTTATATTGATTTGTAACTTATCTAAGCAAACCTAAACTACCATATTACTTCATAAATTAATTTATGCATTCTTGTTGTATTCTTATAATGTGTTTATGTGTCCATATCTAGTGTGTTCATGTGTTCTCATCCAGAGTAATCATATATATCTACAAAATTCGGTAGATTGTTCTAGAGTGTAGAAAACAAACAAATAACTTCACAGATTTTTTTCCAAGTGCAAGAATACCTAGTTTAGGTGTAACTAAATAAATTTTTTAAATTGTTTGAATTGCCAACAAGTAGTTTGTTTCTCGAATCCTCTCCATCACTATTTCTCATTGTTCGTGCTCGTCTTTGGTCAGATTTGCCATTCATTTTGTTCTTCAGATCTGGGACGGGTTGGGATGGGTACTTTTTTTACTTCTTTTTTGCAGGGATATTTTTTAATTAGTATCAGTATCATACCATTCATAACATGCATGAGTTTCCAGAATTTAAAGTTTGTTCATAATTGTTTTTCTAGAGAAAGAACCATTTTCAGGTATTTTTTTGAGGTTATTGATATTTTTTAAAAAGCTAGGCTCAAAGGAGTCCCATATCCATGTGGAGATTTTTTTGTGATAATTTACAAGGAAAATAAGTTCCCAAGTGAGCAATGGTCTCCAACCCTTTGTTGCCCAATGAAATTCTCAAATTGATTAACATAAAAAGCTAAATGAAGTCCACAAAGCAATTTTATTGTTACTCTGTACTCTCAACCTTAACTGCAAACCTCAACAAATTTTAAAATGAGTCGCTCAACTATGAAAACTAAAAGGTACCCAAGAGAGATCATGAGGCTATCTCCATCTAGAGTGGAGCTTGATTAAAGACAATTAGTTCATCTTCCATGATGAGTCCAACCAACCAACCTACTTGCATGACATGTACAATTAACTGTCCCTTTTTTATTCATGAACTGCATATACCACATAATATATCAAACTATAAAATAGCGTCCTTAATTAGGCCTTTTATTTGTAGAAAATTTATCAGGTGCAGCCGTCTACAGAACAGCTGTTCCAAAGGAAAGTAATAAAATTCAGAGAAGAGAAACAGTACATACCTTCAGATTTGGACAACTGTCTGCAACTGCATAGAGCGATTCATCAGTGATGAATGTTCCACCAATGTTCAGATGCTGCAAAGAACGAGCCCTTGAGACCTGCAGGGAATCAGGTTTGACAAATTCATATTGGTAAAATTGTCACAGCAAAGTACAGATTTCTTGTAGTTCAGATTAACTTCGCAATTTTTTTTGTTGGACTTTTTGGACATCAACAAGTGGATTCATGAATTTTTTTTCTTTGTTTAAAAAAAATTGGGAACCATGCATCATACGATTCTTCAGGCCCACATAATAAATGGTTCTGATAAGCATATATTGTCCACTCATTGACCTGCACAATGAATTATTCTGAAAGCAACGTCGTAATAGTATGCCTGACGACATCCCGCGCGATGCGACCTTAGAATCCAGTATCCAAATCCACCTTCTACACTATGACAGCAATAGTCGGTGGTGGATATGATCGATGAACACACCATCAGTTTGACAATTTGGTGGGCATGTGTCACCAAAAGTTTGGTCGATGGAGGAAAACAGACGAGGAAATTGATTACCAGATGGACAACGCCCTTGTCAGTGATCCCCGCCAGCCCCCACAGCGAGACGGAGGTGAGGTTGCCGATGCACGCCGCCGAGGAGATGTCGAGCAGGCCCTGGTCCGTGATGTGGCACCCCCAGCAGCTTCGTGAACTCCAAGAACGGGCGGAGAGAGTTAGAAAGATATGATCGAGCTAATCGGGATGTGGAGCGTGAATAGAGTGTTTGATTGGGCATGATTGCTCAGGCGATCGATCGATCGATTGACCGATCGAACTCACATACATGTCGAGGTCGCGGAGGTTGACGGCGGCGCGGACGAGGCGCGCGGTGGATTCGTCGCCGGTGCGCTGCCCCGCGAGGCTCAGCCGCCGCCGCGTCGCCAGCGACCGGCCCACCGCGCGGCGCCACCGCCGGCTCACCGCCCCGGCCCTGAAGGACGACGACGACCACCAAATTCAAGATAGAGCCAGTCAATTCAATTTCAAGCTCGCGGTCGGTGGGCGGCAGGGCACCATCATCCATCCGAGCGATGTCCATGGAAATCAATCAAAGGCGGGCGCGTTCTCTGTTCTTACATGGAGAGGTCGTGGAAGGAGGGGAGGAGGGAGAGGACGTGCGCGAGGATGTCGGCCGGAAGCCGCTCCACGTGCGGCTCCTCCTCCGCCGGCGCCACCTCGCCGGTCCGGGCGTCGTCTCCCGCCATCTCCTGCGCGCTTGCTTGCTTCTGGAGCTCGCGCTCTCTGGCTCCCCGGTCGCGCGGAGGAAAGCAGGAGAGGATTATACTACTAGCGGCAGGCCGGCAGCATCGCGAAGGCTCACGTGAAGGTGATGCGGGCGGCGGGAGGGCGACGCGACGCGCGAGTGGACGACGCAGAGCGGGGAGCGGACGGGGCTTGGATTCTTGTTCCTGCACGGTTGGAGCAGGGGCGCCTTTGGATTGTGCGGACGGCGCTGCGCCGTGCAGCCGCCGTCCCATGCCCGCCACGTTTGAAAAAAGGTCAATAAATTGATGATAGGTCCCTAGACCCGTACAACTGTATTAGTTGGGAGATTAAGCTAGACTGATTATGAACTCGGCATTCCTAATATTTTCGGAAACGCTAAAATCTGACGTCAGATTTTTAGCCATGACAAATCAATTTCATTGGCGCGAGGGTGACAGATTTAGTTTACAAGCACGGCAAATGAACTGAGACGAATTTGCCATACTCACTAGCTAATCCGCTCCGCTAAATATAGTCATGTCTACCACGTCCTTAAGATTTGTACTGTGGCGTATATCTGGTTTATCGGCTTCGATTTTTATAAGTATTTAGTAATATTAATTTCTGAAATAATATGCAATTTGAAGTTTTGAACATTACTCTCAACCCGCTCTGTTGAGAGTAAAATGTTCTAAACCACCGCAAATACAATCACTGAAGGATTCAGCACGGGTCATGGGTGCATAAATGTACGCCCAGAAAATTCTAGGGAAAAGAATCGTATGCATCCATGAAAGATACTCAAGTAGCCTATTAGGCAAAGAGCAACAGCCAAATAGACAGCTTCACTCCCCACAAATAATAATAATAATAATAATAATAATAATAATAATAATAATAACAACAACAACAACAACAACAACAACAACAACAACAACAACAACAACAACAACAACAACAGCAACAACGAGACAGCTTCACGGACGAGAGACACACGCAGCCACCAACCAGTCACTTCAGCACACACGAACTAGCCACCCAACCTAGCACGACTTGTTTCCTGGCTATTTTGATAGATTGCATGCACTTTAGGCCCTCTACGTTGTGGCCGGGCAGGCTAATTTTTTTTAAATAATACATTTTTTTATTAATTTGCACAAATATTACGTTAAAAAATTATTTTTCAAAAATAATACTCCGTCGGCCCACAGCTGGCCGACTGGCTCTAGTCAGCCCGCAGCGAGCCGAGTGGGTGCAGTCGGCCACTAGCAGGCCGATAGCTGACCCGTGTGGCACGTGTCGGCCTCGGATTGGGCTGGCCACGTCGCGAGGGGGAGAGAGGGAGCTGTCGGTGCGGGCGCGCCCCTGTCAGCCTGCCGCGGGCCGATCGGCCTGCTGCTGGCCGACAGGGTGCGGCCCCACCTCGCGCGCGCTGGCCCGGCTCCCTGCGGCCTTATCCTCCCTGCTCCACGCCCAAGCTGCTGCTCTTCTTCTGTTCTTCTTCTTTCTTACTTTCTCCTCTCTCTGTAAAAAAATGGGACCAATTTCTACACCTAAATGAGCTAGTTTTTTGCGGTTTTGGCACCGTGAATGGATTCAACTTAGTTAGGGCAGCCAAAAGAGGTGTCGATCTACTGATGGGGTAGCTCGTGGTGGTTGTGGTGAGCATTTTGGTGGAGGTGGTGGTGCTGAAGTTGGGGCAGTGTGGTGGAGGTGAAGCTCATCGTTCGTCGTTCGTCATTGGAGGCGGAGCACCGGCAGTTTGTTGGCCGCCGTTTGTCGTTCTTCGTTCGCACGCTTCAAGGGTATATTTCAGCAAACATTTTATTTTTCGTAGGTGCTCCGGTAGTATTTGTTAATATGTTTCGATGTGAAATAAATGTGTGATTATTGTTATTTGCCCCGTAGTATACGTAAATATATTTAGATGTCAACTAATTATTTGTGTAAAAATGTGTAGTTGCTCCGGTGATATTCCGTACTATATGTGGATGTGAAGTATTTAGGAGTGTCAGTATTTGGAGTAGCTCCGGTAAAATCCGTATTTATGAGCGTCAGTATTTGGAGTAGCTCCGGTAAAATCCGTAATATATTTGGAGTAGCTTCGGTAAAATCCGTAATATAGTTGTAGTTGTAGGCAGTCAAATATTAAAATCTGTAAATATTTGTAGTTGCTCCGTTAAATATTTGTAATATACTTGTAGGTGTGTGAATTGTATTAGTTGCTCCGTAAATATTCTGTAATATATATATAAACATGTCTAATATTTGTTAGTGAATTGTATTTCGTTGTTAAAAAAATAGGTGAGCCGAGATGTCTGATGTAGTGAAGTTCAGATTTTACTACGGTCCTGCTACTGTCCAAACAACTGAGATGGGAGCAGATCTGAGTGAATTTACTCACATAGAGGTGTCAATGAGCGCACCTCAAACATGGTCAGTCAGTCAGTCAGTTGAAAGAATGGATTGCGGCAAGTTTAGGTCTTGATACTGAAACACGCATCGTCGGTGTTCATGCATTATGGACATGGTCAAGTACAATAATTTACTTTTATTTGAGGCCGATAGAGCAAGACTCCGATTGGGTGCGGTGGTTACAAGGTTGTGAACGAAGGGGATGCAATTCTATTGCTTTAGTGCTTCCCGTCGTGAAGGAGGTCACTGTACATGAAGGCGAGGGTGGCTACGATCCTGGTCATAGCAGTGTAGGGAGGCAGTTATCTATGTCAAATGCTGGAGATGATGGTTACGAACAAGAACAGAGCAGTCAGGTAGAAGGAGGAAATGCTTATGGTTACGAACAAGGACAGAGCAGTCAGGTAGAAGGAGGAAATGCCGACGGTGATTACAATGGCGAGGTGGACGCTGACGAGGTAGATGGGCACATGCAGGACCAGATGGAAGAAGAAGACACCGATGTTGAAAGGGGTCATGCCGATGATTCTGACGAGTCAGATGAAGAAGAAAATGCAGAGGAGGTCTCGAATCCTGCATGGTGGAATCATGACTTCTCATCTGCAATGACCGTGAATGATGGACATGATTCAGCATGGCAATATCATCAGAACAATATTGCAATGGGTGCTATGTGTCCGAACAAGCAAGCCTTGAAGGATGCAATAATTAATTGGGCAATGTCCACGCAACGGGTTTTCACAGCTCAGGTGTCTAGTCAAAAATTCCTGACAATGGTATGCAAGAACGCAGATTGTCCCGCTAGGGTGCACGGCTTTCTCCCTAAGTATGGCACAAGTTGGGTGATAAGTGACTTAGTTAATCACACTTGTCTTATTCCCTGCATCCCTCAAGATCATGCCAACCTTTCATCCACGCTTATTGCTCGGTTGTTTTACAATGAGATAGTGCAGGGCAAAGCTATGGAAGTGAAAGTAGTCCAGACAAAAGTCTTCGCCAGGTTGAAGTACAGAATTTCTTATGGAAAGGCTTGGAGGGCTAAGCATGCGGCGCTTGAGAGGAGATTTGGTTCTTATTTTGATGCATATGACTCTGTTGTCCAGCTCCTCCACACTCTACAGCAGCGGAATCCAGGCACCTATATATATATCCAAGACATGTTCATGCCAGAGTTCCCAACTATGAGGGTGCTGCATCGTCTCTTCTTCTCTTTCGGTGTATGCATCGAAGCTTTCAGGCATTGCCGACCGGTGATATGTGTTGACGGTACTTTTCTCACAGGCAAGTACAAGGGTCAGATCCTGACAGCATAGGTCAAGACGGCCAAAATCAAGTCATCCCACTCGCATTTGCTTTTGTTGAGAGTGAGAACATTGAAAGTTGGACATGGTTCTTCAGGCAGTTGAAAATATCAGTTGTGAAGGAGAAGCCCAATGTGTGCATCCTTCATGACAGGCATACAGGTATACTCAGTGCCATAAGGACACCGACAAACCCAAGCCCTGAGGAACAAGTTCCATGGCAGGACTTGCAGAGCCGTTGGTGCATGCACCATCTGGGGGCTAATTTCTTCTCGCAGTTCAGAAATAAGAACCTGATGAATCTGTTCAAAAAACTCTGCAAGCAGAACCAGTTATGGAAGTACAATTTGATACGCGACAGACTTAATGTGTGCACGCAGAGACACGTGAGGGACAGGAAAGCTGCAAGAGATGCAGCGGTGAGGGCACATGTTGAAGCAGTAGCTAAACAGTTGGCAACAGGAACAACGGCCGTGGAGGAGGAGCCTGTTGGGCTATGTGACTTGCCAGGCTTTGACCCACCTGGTACTAGGAGAAGGCTTGGGAGGTCGATTAAAACCTTCGAGCAGTGGATAGAGCATGAGCCTCTGGAGAGGTGGTCTTTGCTACATGACACACATGGAGCAAGGTACGGTGTCATGACAACGAACCTCGCGGAAACATACAATTTTTTCCTCAGAGGAAACCGAGCATTGCCACTTACAGACATCGTTGAGGGTATTTTCTATGGCACCGTCAAGTATTTCAGAGATAGACGTCAAAAAGCAGAGCAGCATATCTTCAACAACCTGAATACACAGTATTGTGAAAGAGTCACAAAGTACATGGACAACAAGATGCAAAAAGCTAGGTCACACAGTGTAGTCGCCATCGGTAATCAAGAAAGAAGGTTTGAGGTCCGCTTAGCCAACAACAAATTTGGATGTGCAAATGAGTTGAGGACGCATGAGGTGAAAATTGGTAATGAAGCCTGGCCAACGTGTGAGTGCACATGCAACAAACCGAAATTGCTTCACCTACCTTGCTCACATGTACTTGCTGCTTGCGGGCAGCTTGGAATGGACGCAATATCGTTTGTGTCTCCATTTTTTCTGAAAGAGTCTTTCCTCAATACCTGGACCGGTGAGCTGATGGGTTTTCGATCAATGGGTAATTTCAACACCGTCAACCCCGCTGAAAGGCGTTACATTCCAAACCCAGAGCATATGCGTACAAGTAGAGGCAGACGACAGTGTCAGCGCATCCGGAATGATATGGATGAATCTGAAGCAGGAGGTTCGACTAGGCAATGCATTCTATGCAATGAATTTGGTCATAGGGACACTAATTGTCCCACATTCGTCACTGGGCGTGGACGAGGCAACCGGGGACGAAGAGGAGGTAGAGGAAACAGAGGAGTAAGAGGGAGAGGAATAACCTAAGATAGCAGTACTATGTTCTGAATTTGTATTAAGTGTGGCACTATGTTCTGAATTTGTATTAAGTGTGACACTATGTTCTGAATTTGTATTAAGTGTGGCACTATGTTCTGAATTTGTATTAAGTGTGACACTATG